AATCTCCTTGGTATTCTATGGCCTTCTTATACTTGAATATTGAGATCTTTCTTTGGGTCTAGGAAGTTCTCTGTTCTCACTTTGAGTAAACTTTCTATTCCACCCACCTCTCTCTACCTCCTCTATCAGGCCAATAACTGTTAGATTTGCCCTTTGGAGGCTATTTTCTAGATCTTGAAGCTGTGATTCATTCTTTTTTATTCTTTTTTCTTTTGTCTTCTCTGACTGTATGTTTACAAATAGCTTGTTTTAAAGCTCACTAATTCTTTCTTCTGCCTGATCAATTCTGCTTTTAACAGATTCTAATGCATTCTTCAGTACACCAATTGCATTTTTCAGCTCCAGAATTTCTGCTTGATTATTTTCAGTAATTTCAATCTCTTTGTTAAATGTATCTGATAGGATTCTGACTTCCTCATCTGTGTTATCTTGAATTTTTAGTTTCCTCAAAGCTTCTTTGTTCTCATTTCTTTTTCTAATTTTTTATTTAGCTTCTATTTTGAGTTCAGGAGTACATGTGCAGGTTACATAGATAAAATCGTATCATGGGGGTTCATTGTACAGATTATTTTGTCACCCGGGCATTAAGCCTAGTACCCATTAATTATTTTTCCTGATGCTCTCCTTTCTCCTACCCTCCACTCTCCAATAGGCCCAGTATGTGTTGTTCTTCTCTATGTGTCCATTAGTTATCATAATTTAGCTCCCACATATAAGTGAGAACATGCAATATTTCCTTTGCTGTTCCTGTGTTAGTTTGCTAAGGATAATAGCCTCCATCTCCATCCATGTTCCTGAAAAGGACATGTTTTCATTCTTTTTTTATGGCTGCATAGTATCCTGTGCTATATTTTATATCCCACATTTTCTTTATCCAGTCTATCACTGATGGGCATTTAGATTGATTCCATGTCTTTGCTATTGTGAATAGTGCTGCAGTGAACATATGTGTGTATGTATGTGTATTTATGATATAATGATTTATATTCCTTTGAGTATATACCCAGTAATTACATTGCTGGGTCAAATGGTATATTTTTGTTTTTAGGAACAGAAATATCCTCAAAATTTCTGTTTGATGAATCACCACACTGTCTTCATGGTTGAACTAATTTAAACTCCTATCAACAGTGTATAAGTGTTCCTTCAATTGGAATAAAAGAAAAAATTGACAAATGAAATCTAATAAAACTAAAGAGGCTCTGCACAGCAAAAGAAACCATCAACAGAGTAAACAGACAACCCATAGAAGGGGAGAAAATTTTTGCAGACTATTCACCTGACAAAGGCTAATATCCAGCATCTATAAGAAAATTAACTTAAATTTACAAGAAAAAGAACAACCTCCATTAAAAAGTGGGCATTGGGGGCCAGGTGCGGTGGCTCACACCTGTAATACCAGCACTTTGGGAGGACAAGGCAGGCAGATCACTTGAGGCCAGAAGTTCAAGACCAGCCTCACCAACATGGCAAAACCCCATCTCTACTAAAAATACAGAAATTCGCCAGACATGGTGATGCTTGCCCGTAATTCCAGCTACTCGAGACGCTGAGGCACAAGAATCGCTTGAACCCAGGAGGGAGAGGTTGCATTTAGCTGGGATTGTGCCATTGCACTCCAGCCTGGATGACAGAGACCAGAGACTCCGTCTCACAAAAAAAAAAAAAAGAAAAGTGAACAGACACTGCTCGAAAGAAGACATACATGCAGCCAACAATTATATGAAAAAAAGTGCTACATCATTGATCATTAGAGTAATTCAAACCAAAACCACAATGAGATACCATCTCACATCAGTTCAGAATGGCTATTATTAAAAAATCAAAAAATAACACATGCTGGGAAGGTTGTGGAGAAAAAGCCACACTTGTACACTACTTGTGGGAATGTAAATTAGTTCAACCATTGTGGAAGAGAGTGTGGTGATTCCTCAAAGACCTAGAATCAGAAATACCATTCAATACAGCAATCCCATTACTGCATATATACCCAAAAGAACATAAATCATTCTATTACAAAGACACATCATGCATATGTTCATTGCAGCACTTTTCACAATAGAAAAGACATGGAATCAACTTCGATGCTCACCAATAATAGACTGGATAAAGAAAATGTGGTACATATATACCATGGAATACTATGCAGCCATAAAAAAGAATGAGATCATGTCCTTTGCAGGGACATGGATGGAGCTGGAGGCTGTTATCCTGAGTGAACTAATGCAGGAGCAGAAAATCAAATGCCACATGTTCTCACTCATCTCTGGGAGCTAAATGATGAGAACACATGGACACCTAGAGGGGAACAACACACACTGGGGCCTATCAGATGGTGGAGGGTGAGAGGAGGGAGAGGATCAGGAAAAATAACTAATGGGTACTAGGCTTAATACCTGGGTGATAAAAATCTATTCAACAAGCCCCCATGACACACCTTTACCTATGTAACAAACCTGCACGTGTGCCCCTGAACTTAAAATAAAAATATAGAAAAGAGGTTCACTTTAACATCTCATAAAACCAATGTGAGCTTTATGGCTTTCCTTCATCTTTCAACTACATCATCTGGGGAGTAAGAGAGGAATAGAAAAAGCTCACTTCTACTAATATTGTATTTGCTGAGAATTAGTCACATGGCCCAACCCAAATGCAAGTCAGGCTGGGAAATAAAAGAAAACCTATAGTTATGGTTTTATTGAGCACTAAATTGATATGTGAAACAATTCCATAGAACAGGAGTGGCCAAATATTTTCTCTAAAAATCCAGACATAATAAATATTTCAGATGTTGTGGAAAATATGACCTGTGTTGCAACTACTGAACTCTGCAATTAAAGTACGAGGACAGTCATAGACCATAACTAAATGAGGGAGCAATGGGTGCAGTTTTGTTGCAATAAAACTTCATTTTTAGAAATAGGAAGAAGGCCAGATTTGAGCCACAGGCCATAGTTTGCTGACCCTTGCCTTAGAGCATGACTAAGTATAATGCTTCCAATTTTTCATCACCGTTACTGCTATATGATACTGAAGCATAATCATTGGATTGGTTGTCTCTTCTTCGAAGCCTCATGTGCCATCCATCCTCCCACCTCAAGTCTATATTCATACGGAAAACAGGGAAAATGTCTTACTTGTTTTATTCCTATCATGGTACTTACGTGTATGATATCTGCAGTTTAGTATATGTTCAGCAAATATTTGTGGAATGAATTAATATTGCAGAAAATAGCTTGTTTATTTTCATGATTGCATAAAACATTGTGTTTTTAAAGCAGTTAGAACCATGGGTGGTCAGGATTCAGAAACATGTATTTAAGAAACATTTAGAAGTGGAGGAATCATATATATCATTTGGCTTGACCTTTATAAAATTTATGAGAAGAAATAAAGAAATGTGGTCCATTGCCTACACATAAAGTGAAACAAAAGCACAACACAATAAAACAAAGCCTAGAATGATGGGCTCCATTGGAGCCAGGGCTATAGCTCATGCCTTTCTAATTGCTGTTATAGAATGTAGTGGAAAGGACACTGAATGTGAACTTGAGATTCAGTAGTCCCAAGGACAGACATTTCATGAGAAACCAAGCCTGACATTAAACACTGATCTTTTGTACTTCAAAAGCAACTGAGCCCTCTGTGGGTGCTAATTTGAATTCTATTACTGAGTTGATGTGTCATAATAAAAAATGACTTGCACTGTCTAGCGTAACAATATTTATACCCCTCAACATCTTTCATAAAACGTTTGGTGAAATATTGGTGAAAGAATAAATCATATTGTGATAATTTACACACCTTGTTTTTTTTTTAATCTCTATACTGTGCAGACATTTTCCATATGATTGTCTATTTTATGTTATAGACTAAATGATATCTACTTGGAAAAAAATGATAAGCTGGAAGAGACAGCAACTTGAATATTTTGCAGGAAAATATGGAGTACAGTGATTAACATATATTTGAGGGTAACAAAAACATTAGTAAACCAAAAGTTAATTGTACTTTGGAGAAAGTAAAGTACAATAAACTTTACCTTATTATAAAAAGTTTACATTTAATCTCTTGTAATTATTATAAGAGATGTTTAATATTTCAGTAATATAAACTAAAAAATAAAAAGAAAGTTTGAGTTGATTCCTGGGAAAAACACACACATTTGAGAGCCAAAAAACTGCAGTTTTTCTGAAGGACAATGTTAGAAGCTCTGCTAGGCAAGAAAAAAAAAAGTGAATATAATTAAAATTATGGGGAAAAAACCCCAGAAAATTGCTATAGGGAGTAATTCATTACTGACAAAGGGTATAGATTATATCTGCTATTACTCCATGATTTTAACTTTTATGTTTAAATTGACTTTTCTTGCTATTTGGGGATTAATTAAAATTCTTAAAAAAGAAAATCAAAGTTCACTACAAATACCAAGCATATTCTTAGATCCTAGAAAATGTTCCATATAACTTTATTTAATTCTGATGATGAAATTCCTGCATCTTGTACTTGGGAACAATATCTAATGCCACCAATTCCTTGGACTATTTAAAGAATAAAAAAATGGAACTGCCTTAATTATTCTTCAATGTTATAAGGGCCCTTTTATTATTAGATTCTATATCCTCTGGGTCTGGCAAATGCCAGATGCTTAATAAATGTTAGTTGAATGAAAGGTGACTTAAAATTGCAACTTTCAAAATTGATTACCAAGAGAAATTCTGTGCACTATATTTTTACAATCTTCTGGGGAAAGCAAATGAAAAGCCTAAGCTATCACATCAACTATGCCATAATATTTTCTCATTAAATAATTTTTTATTATTGAATTCATCAAGTAATTATTTAATGTATCTCTGTAAAGCACAATTATATTTTAAGTGTAAAACCCAGATAGTTTTTAACTGAAAAAAAAAATTATCACTTAGATTAAATTGATGGGGAGATTGGGCTGAAGATGAACATGATCATATTAATACTGTCATCATGCTCATTTATTTTAGCCTAAACAGCGAACATCCATTGTGTCTTCTCTGGATTTTCACCGAATGAATCACAACCAAGAATATTTTGAAATCAACACATCTACAGGGTGCACAAGCTTTACTGCCAGCCCTCCTGCTAGTCCACCCACCTCTTCTGTGGGAACCACAGAAGTCAAGAATGAGGGAACTAAACATACAGGTAAAGCAGTTCACTTTATGCAGCTGTATTTTTTATTTTAAGACTGAAGTCTTTATGAGTTAGAGGAATTAGGAGGAGTCTTTGTACAAATTGCATTGTGTTTTTAGTTCACCTCCATGTGTGGCAATGTAGGACTTTAAGATTTTTGTCAATGTGGCTATAATATTCTTTTTGAATACATGGATGGCCTTTTGGTGTTAAATATTAAAGATGATGATTTAATGTGATCATAGTAGTAAAAATACCAGGGACATGGAAATGCTCTTCCACTGCCATTTACTCCTCACCACACAGTGGTATCAACTAATCAACACACAACATCATTAAGATCTGCTTTGAAGCCAGAGAACTTATATCAAGAATGTCTGGTAAGAAGGAATTGTACAGTGTGGCCTAGGCTGGCTTTCAACCTATTTAAACCACAGTGAACTTGCAGAGGAAGTGTGTTGGGGGAGAAAATGCTGGGTGTAAGGGTAAGATTAAGAAAAATAACACCACCCACTAGTAAAACATACGTTGTTCCATGCAGTCAGATTTGCAAAGCTTTCTTTATTTGGGGGACAAGGAGCTAACTCCTGGTAAGGCCAAGGGACATATTAGAACTAAGAGAAGTGGGACCCAAAGAATATCCTCCCCTGCCATATAATTTACAATAAGGGTTAAAGACAAATACAATATAGAGACAAATTTCTTAATTTTAAATGTTTTATTTGGAAATCAAGAATTACAATTTGTGGCATACTCAGAGGCTGGATGGTCTTCATTATGTCCAAGAACAGACGGTTAGAGGTTTTACAAAAAAGGGGAAATGTTTCATATTGCTCTTTGAGGAAGTTCATTGGCACTAATAATATGTTGGTGAGCTGGCAAGTTTTGATTGGTAAGTGATGACTATGGGTAAAATGATTCTCAGAGTTGCAGCAGGTTGTTTCAGTAGCTATTAGATAAAAGTGGTTTCAGGTTACAGCAGGCAGCTTCAGCAGCCAAGCTTACAGGGAATTACATTCTTGGAACAGTGTTATGTGCCCTAGATGCCTTCTCCCCTTAACCTCTCAACTGTTTCAGTTGGGTATAACAAGATTGACCCAATTCATATGATCAACTTTCATGTAAGTAAACAATTACTTTCCTTCCAAGAGACATGATTCAAAAACCCAGTAGATAGAATTAATTTGAATTTTAGAATAATGAAGTGTGGTCTGTGTGAGTATTCCATATAATCTTCGTTCACAGTGAGTGTATGAGTATATATGTATGCTCATATACCTACTTAAGTCCTTTATTCTGACTCTATGTTTAAAAGCAGTAACACAACATTCCAGAAATATAGTCAGGGAATTACTTTCCCCTAGGAATGAAGCTAAGATTTTAAAAACAATGACTAATGGTAATGATAAGATTGATATTCTATGGAAGTTATAATCCAGACTTTCGTGGAAGCCAGGGTGATATTTATAAAATATAAATCAAATCATGTCATTACCACGCTTAAAATGTTCCCATGTCTTCTCATCACACTTAGAATAAAATCCAACTCCTTACCATATCCAGTGATGCCTAATTTAGCCTGGTTCTTGACCAGCTCTGTAACTTGACTGAACTCATCCTGGACCATACTGGCCTTCTTTGCTGAACATTCTGGCCCTGGGGCTTTTGCACTTTGGTTCCTTCTGCCTGAAATCTCTGCCTTAAAATTTTCATGTGTCTAAGTGTCATTTAGGTTTTGGTTCAAATGCACTTCTTCATAGAGGCCTTCCCATACCACCCTCTCTCAAGTAGATATCCTCAATATGATATGAATTATAATAATAAAAATGTGAAAATAACAATAATAATAAATACGTAAATGACACTATGTGTCAGGAACTGTTTTAGGCATTTTATGTATATCAATTCATTTAAACCTCATGACTGTCATATAAATTTGGCATTATCTGTAGATAAGCAAATATACAAAGAATGTAAATAACTAAATAACAGCCCATAATGACAGGGCTGGAAAAAGCTCTGGTATGAACTCAAACCTGGTGCTAGAGTTCATGTTTTTAACTACTTTTCTATATCACTCTAGTCACTTCTAGCAAATCACCCCATTTTCTTTTATCCATAGCCTTATTTCCTATATAAAGTTATATTGATTACTTCTTTAGTTATTTATTATCTTCTCTCTAGAATGTAAGCTGCAATAGGTTGGTCTCTGGCCCATTGTACTCACTGAGGTCAGACTGCCAAAGTTTGATTACTAACTGTGAAACTAAGCCTCTTACCTAGCTATAAGACTTGATCTCTTTATGCTATAGTTTTCTTACTATAGAATTAGATTAACAATGAATTAATTACATTAACTTACCCTGTAGTGTGGTGATGCATGTAAAGTGATTAACACGGTGCCTGGCATATAGTTAGTGCTCAATAAATGTTAGTAACTATTAGTGGTAGTAGCAATAAATATGATATTAACATAATCCTTTGTATTCTACATCAAGCCTAGCATTCATTTAGTGAGCATTAAAATGTATTGTCTGCTATGTACTAGATGCAGTTTTATAGGACAGGAGAGATGAGATGTGATTTGTAAAAACAAAAAAATAGTGATATGTGGACCTGGGAAGGGTTCTGGGCATATAATTATTATTCAAACAATATTTATTTGAATGACTACTTCCAGCTTTACAATCCTAAAATGGGGCAATGACAGATGCTTTGATACTTGCCTTTCAGAATGGCTTTCTTGGTTTTGTTTTAGTTAGTACGTTGTTTTGGGGATGATCGATTTTCTGAATATTTTTCAACAGGTAAAAATCTGTTTTCAACAAATTGTTCTGTCTCAGGTGGATAGAAATATTACCTTTACCCCTTTATTATTTTAATTAAAAGCAATAGAAATTTAGGCCTGATACCAAAGCCCTGGTGCCTTTTCTCCACTCTGACACTGCCCACCAGAAGCAGAGGATCAGAACAAACACATTTTGCTGCTGCCAGGAGTTCGGTGGCATCATCCGAAATGTGCGGAGAAATTGTAATCATCAGGATATTTTCAGGTTTCTGACCTTAAACAGAACTGAAATCTAACCTTTTAACAGTTGAAATGGTTTCCAATATCATGTTACAGTGGTTTTCTAAGGTAATATATCACCTCCACATTACATAAACAATTTTAGGATAGACTGATATTTAGTAATAATGTGAAAGCACAGTTTGTTTTGCTTTACATTAAAAAGGAAAACTTGTAAGCAAGGCATTTGTCTACTCACAAAAGTAGCATTTTATTAGCTTACACATATTTAATTTGTTATACTTTAAAGACATTGCCACTGGGTATATGTTTAAAGAGAATGAGTTCAAGAGTCAGTTCCATCACTGCTTTGCTAGATATTTTCCATCAAAACCTTTAACTTTTCTGATATTTAATTTGCTCCTCTGAAAGTGGAAATAGTATCTACTCTTTAGGTATTTGTAGTAATAAATGAGTTTATGTGAATACATTTTGTAAACCTTGGCAACTAATGTTATTCTCTAATATTATCACAGTTATTGCTTAATATTATTTTTGTTTTTAAATATTATTATTTGAAATCTGTAGTAGCTTTAAGATAGAGGAGCCTATTGTAAGTCTGTACAAGGTATGCCAAGGTAGCTGACCAAGCTTATGCCAAGATAGCTGACCTTTTCTTGACTTAGAAGTATAATTTAAATTTACTGATTAATCTACATTTCATTTTATAAATGATTGCATGCACAAAAAATTAATCTTGACCAAAATGGCATTTAATAGAACAAAAACTAATACATCTTCAAAAATAAATCATATGCTACAAAACACTTTTAAGTGAACCAATGAATTTATTATAACAGAGGGCCATTTAAAAAGTAGCTTGAATTGTGATTAAAGCTTCAACTTGTGAATCATCAAAAAAGGTTGTTAGAATTAAAAAGCTTTGGTGTTATACTGTCTGGGGAATGATATAAATAGGTTTACATTTAACTAGAAAGATCACTCTAGTATTAATATGTAGTAGATTTGAGATGAAATGACATTGGAGAAGGGGAGAAATAGTTTCATAGCAAAGGGAAAATGTAAATTGGTTTAAGAGATACAAGAAAAGAGTAATTAACAAGTTATGGTAATTGGATGTGCAAAGATGAGGGGAGATATTTTAAGGAGGGCTCTAAAGTTTCTAGCTTAAGCTGATGAGTGGAAGGTGGATGCTATTCCTTGAAATGTATAATATTTGTAGGTAAGAAGAGAGGGTGAGGAATAGATTATGTAAGGCCTAATAAGCCATTTCAGGACTTTGGCTTTAACCCAGAGTGATTTTACTTAGAGCCTGTTCAGGTCTTTCAGAAGAAAAGTCATATGATCTAACTTCTATTTTATGAGGATTAATATGGCTATAATGTTCATAATGGATGGGGAGAGGGAACCAGGGTGGATACAGGAAAGCCAGTTAGAAGGCAATTGCAGCATTGCAGTAAGAGAGGGAAAGCAGCTAAGATCAAAGGTGAATCAGCAGAGTTAGAGAGAAATGGAGAGATGTTGGACATATTTTTAAGGCAGATCCAATGGAATTTCATGGTGGAGTGGACATGGTATATGAGAAAATGAGAAGAATTAAGGATGACTCCAAAACTTTTCTCCTTAACAACTGTAAGAATGAATTTCCTATCATTTGACACACAAGAGGTTTTGGGAAGAGGAGGTTTGGTAAACAGAGAGAAATACCAGGAGTTAATTTTAAGTTTGAGATGCCTACTGAATATCTGAATAGATGTGTCGAGTAGGCAGCAGAAGGTCCAGTCTGCAGATATAAATGTGAACGTCGTCATTATACAGATGATATGCAGCATATGTAGAGGAAGAAGACCAATAACTGAGCTTGAGGAAGGATGGAATGAAAGGCAGCACCAGCAAGGGAGGCTGAGAAGGAGCAACCTGTGAGATAGAAGGAAATCTTTTGGTGAGTGTCTTGTTCTGAAATCAGGTGAAGGAAGTTACTAAG